CCTGGGACTTTGAACTCCGTTCCTTATAGGATTAGAATTCGCTTGCTTTAGACTGAGCCATTCCTGGTTCTGATTGTGAGGACTGTTAGTTTTAAAATAATTTGCTCATCACCTTTGGCTCAGGCGGCAAGGCAAGTTACTTATCGGCATTTTAGGTGAGTATTCTATTCATTAGAGGAAGTGTTTTTTTTTTATTTTGTTTCAATAATGAGTCACTGAACAAGTTTCGAAGATATACCACTTCTTGAGCGCGTGAGTTTTGCAAAAGAAACTGAATACATGATGCAAATATTAAATTTAACATTTTCTTTTACATCTTAGGAATTAGGGATCACTTTTTGGAAAAAAAATATTTAGCCTACTGATGTCATTCGGCCTCCACCTTTCGTCTTATATTACTTCAAATAGTTTTTTCTTCTTGTGACTCACAAGGAAAACATAAGGAATTTTATTTTCACTTGTAACTCCTGATAAGGTTCAGATTCGAGACCAAGCAATGATGTTAATATTTTTTCTTATAATCGTTTTTGATGACTCTGACGAAAATACAACCTCAGAACAAAATAGAGTTTTCATCCGAATCAACACGTGCTGCATTCGAGTTATGGACCATGGCATTCAGAACAATCGCTGTTCAGCCCGCGTAACTCAATCGAATTTTCAAACTGACTCACATGATTGTGTTTTGAAAATTTCTGGTCATTCGAAACATCTTCAAGTGGATGAAATACGTCCAAAAGTAAAGAAGATCGTTATTTAATTTTTAGCACGTTTGAACAGACAGTTTGATCAAAACAAAGGATCGAAAATGATTTTTACCAAGAAAATAAAAATAAAGAATTGGCAAAAAAGAAGACGCGCGTTCTAATTTTAGTGAGCGGCCGTATCGACTTCGGCAAATAAATTTCCCTGGTAGGAAATAAAAAAAAATTGGCAAAAAATAAAGAAGAACTGCCACACACCGAATTTTACTGAGCCGTACTTTCCGCTCAATTGATCAATCAGAAAGCGCACAGATCGAGACTGACGAGGGTTAAAATTAATTTTGAAAGATTTTGTAAACTGTTAGAGCCTTAGGCTGGTAAACTGATTTGGTTAGATTGCGGTTGAGTTTCAGTTTCCTCGGCTACTGAATGTGTCACAACCAAATAACAATGTGAAGCTGACAATGAGCTGCCGGCAGAAAATCGCGAAAACCACTTAGACATAGAATAAGGGTGAAAATTAGACCAGGAATACTTTAATTGCAAATGTTAGAACGCTTGCGGGAAAAGAAAAAAAAACAAAATATGCAGAGCACGTAAAAAAACCAAAGGTTGAAATAAATATATTGTCTTACAAACATAGTTGACTATGAGATCATGGCGTGACGTTATGATGTTTCCTTTTCCATTTCAAAAATCATTGATCATTTTTAGAAGAGTTACTTTTTGCTTTCCGTCGTCTTGGGACTTTGAACTCCGTTCCTTATAATGTTGAATCCGCTTTAGTTAGATTGAGCCATTCCCGGCCCTGGTTGTAACAACAGTCAGTTTTAAAATAATTTGGTCATCACCTTTGACTCAGGCGGCAAGGCAAGTTACTTATCGGCATTCTAAGTGAGCATTCTGTTCTTGAGAGGAACGGTTTTTTTTTATTTTTTATTGTAATAATGAATCACTACACAAGTTTCTGACATACCACTTCCTGAGAGCGTGAGTTAGAAGTCACTTTTACAAGTCACGATTTCCCTATGATTTCCCCGTCTATGAATCAAATTAATAGGGAAAAACAAGACTCGGTGGCTTAGATAATGAAGCGAATAGACAAAGCTTGGCTAATTATTCGTTACATTTCTACTATGTGTCATGTGGGTGTGGGAAATTATTTTAGTCACGCCAAACGGCTTCACATGAATGACAAACGACGAAAGCAAAACAAGGCAATTCGAAATCGCTGTTCAGTCGTTAGTACGTTTGAATAAACTGTTTAAAGCAAAGAAAAAAGCTCCCAAAAAATTTCCGAAAAACTACCATATAATGACAAACAGGTAAAAGAAATAGCTTTGAATTTTCGCGCGCAGCTCAGTCAAATGAAGTTGTCGAAAGACAATTAGGTTGTAGAAGAGTTTATGGTCACAGACAGTGACACTCAAATGAGGAAATTTATATTTTTTTAAACGAAGGTTTACGGTATGTCTTAGATTTTGGCTGGATTCTTGATTTTAGTACTTTCTTTGATACAAACTGTTTATATTTTAACTTGTAATTCCGCCGAGAATGTCAAAAATAAACGGTGTTCGTCCGGCTCTTTGACCCTTTTCTGAATTGGTATCGCGCGCGCCAACCCAATTGACCCTTATGGTTTTACATTGTTTGTACACCGTCCGGGTACTTAGATGCAAAGTTGCGACGTGATTTACTTGTTTGTATGTGTTGTGCCATCTTTTAATGGCGCATACTTTTGCCGTTTCGTCAAGTATTTTCAAATTGGACAAATTTAATCTCTTGCTATCTGCTTTGTAGTCAATGTTCGATCTTGTAACACAATGCTTTCTGTCGTCACGAGTACGAAACTGGATTGAGGGGACTGCGTTCATTGGACATCATCAGTCTAATGATAGATGCAACAACCCGGCAATAACACAATATTCATTCTAAATTGGTATTCTCCTTGCTGTCTGATTTTCATTAAAACAAAGAAAAAAGTACTCTGTATTAATTGTCTTATTTTCGAACTCTGAGGCCACTTTCGAAAATAATCTTATTTTGAACGACATACCAGATGAAAGGGAAAGAAAAAAAATCTCGCCCAGAGTTGTGTTCTATCTCATTTTCGATCCAATCTTCTTCAAATAACAGTACATTAAGCTCAAATTTAATCACAATAATTTTCCTGCGTCACTTTGTAACTTTTAACCCCTATATTTTTAAGGCTAACAAATTTGAAAATTATGCAGTGGCAGAGTACTGCATTTCAGTTTCCTAAACGCGTCATAGAAACCGCACGATTGCACAGAGATGCCCCCGAGAAAAATCCCCGTATCCTCGTAGAACTTGAGTCATAAGTTATTTATTTATACAAAGAGGGAATGCGATGGAACGTTTGCAAGTCAGTCGTGCACTTTGGCTCATTGCCTAATTAACATTCCCTAGAATGAAAACACAACGTGACGATTTTTCACTGAAAATTTATTTATTCATTTCAGGAATCAGAAATCATTGAAAGAGTAATTTCCCATTGAGACGTTGTTGACCTTCCTTTAATTTTAGTTCACGGCTTTTTGAGTCGAGTGGAAGGGGAGTTCAAACTCCTCTTGTGCTTGACGGAGTCTGCAGTTACCGCAGAATAGTTGAACGTTTTTTGATCGAAAGGACACTTATTTCCAAAGTCATTTGTCTTGGTGAAGGCGGTAAAGCGCATCAGGTGGGTTGAATGCAATTGTTTGACGTGGCACGTAACGAAAGTATGCACGGCTTTTTTTTTAAGTATTTGGTTTCGACCGATGGCAATTAAACGCAAAAGGCATCTAGCATACCCAAAATATAAAACATTTATACTCATTTTTTGGAGTTTTCGGGCAAAAAGGTTCAGTTATTGTTTTTAGACCGATCAGTGTATCACTAAAAGAAATCAATTTGTTTCAACCTCCATCGAGTCGGTCAAATATAAATTATAAAGCCACTCTGAATTTAAAGAACAATCCCAGGATTTCAAAACAATCTACAAAGTGACCTCTATGTTTTCCACGCATGTTCGATGAATGTAAAACAAGCTTATCGTAGCTATTTTACATCTGTAAATCTAACTGCATAAAGTTGTAGTTTGATGTAGTAGTCAGAAATAGAACTTTCTCTCTGAGTTCTTTTTTTCTTCATTTTTCAGTTATGGCGGAAGGATTCACACCAGTAACTGGAGTAAAACTTGATTGTCATGAAAGCACATCTAATGGTAAGAAAGAAGGGAACTGCTTACAAATTCAACAAATTCGACCGTTTAAATCACGAAATCTTTTACATTTTTTACATGTTGTACAAAGGTGACTTTTCTGTGATTGGATAACCTCATCTTGACACTAAGGGAGTGTTGAAAAGACCCTTTGCTCAGAATTTCCCGGAAACATCAGACAGCCGCAATTCTTGCGTGCGTTTTACTATCTCCGTTTCCCTAGCTAGTTTCGAGCTCCCAATGCAGTTGGTCGGGCTTGCTAAAAGTAGCACCTTGTATATACAGGCGTACGGTTATCACCTATCAAATTTTGGTCGTTTGATCAACTTTTTGCAGCTCGATGGGTTTCTGTTTTATTGCCATTTTCTATAAGTATGGGGCTACACTGTGACGCTGCGAGTTCCGCGATGAAATCTTAAGTATCGAAGCTGATAAAAAAAAAACGATTTGACAGACTAAAATGCTTTTATCATATATGTTAATTGAAGATATGGCAGAGGATTCCGAAGATAAAGAGAGACTCGACGATGCCACTTTGAGAGGTAAGAATTTTCACTCTTTCTCAGCGGTGGCGAGGTAATGAGACTCAAAATGAATCCTTCGGCTCCTACTTCATCAAGTCCAGTCCAACAAACGGCTGCGTTAGTTATTCTTTTATAATTGAAGCCTGCTTTTAATCATTATTAGCCAACCTTCATGAAATTGCTTCCTGCCTGTGGGGTCCTTTAACATGGCCACATTTGATTAACTTTCTCACGAGAGTCGGAATGAAGTGGTAGGAAGTCCATAATAAAACGGGGAACCTAAATATTAATTTACAAATTCATT